TAAGGCAGCTGGAGCTCACGTGGCCAATTGTGCAGTTCAAGTCTTGAACCCAGTGGCTTGAGAAACATGTCAGGGGCAAAAATATGTGTACCCAAAATCTCTAAAGGAAGACGAAATGGAGAAGAGATTGTGGTGTGACCATTCCCCATGAGAGGTTGCTTCCTCCTACCCTCCCACCTCAACCCTATCACTCTCCGACTAAGTATAAATTTAAAAGTGAAACATAAAAGGTATTTAGAATAGAAAATTGACACCCATGTAGAAAAATCTGAAAGGTTAGTACTGGGGGTTGGAAAAGTCTTGATACATTTTTACATAGAAAAATATGTGGGAACAGCAGTTGGCGTAATGCCTATGTTGCTGAACTCCCATGTAGTCGATAACAGTTTGAGTCCTGGACCCGGTGGCTTAAACTCCCGCCGGGCACGTGTGAGTGCGTGCCCAAGATCCCGAGAGGAGAATGGAGGAGAAGGGATTGCGGCATGGCCATCCCTCCTAGGGGGTGATTTCTTGCTTTCTGCCTCTCTCTCTCTTTCCGGTGAGCACACATGCCCTATAGCAAAAACCTCTCCAAAAAAAAATCAGGGCATACTGTGATTCTATATACTAAATACTCAACATTTTATACAACATCCTTTCTACAAAAGTTAATAAAAATTGACCATGTTGGGTGATGCTAAGAAACTGGAAATCAGTAATAGCTAATACTTCGTAAAACACCATGCTATGAGCTCTTATGTGTGAATTTTACAGCAACCCCATGAAGAGTGTACTACCATCATTAAACATATCTTTTACAGGTTAAAAAAAAAACAAAAAAAAACTTGGGCCAGCAGGCAATGTAGTAGTTAAGATGTTGGACTTCCCACATGGCCTAATGTGTTTGGAGTCCCAGACTCAGTGGTTTGAAACGCATGCTGGGCACACTTGCATACATGCCCAGAATCCTGAGGAGAATGGAGAAGGGATTTCAGTGTGACCATCCCTTGAGGGAGGTGATTTATCATTTTCTGTCTGCTTCTCTCTCTGGCAAGAGCATGCACTCTATAGCAAAAATCTCTCTCTCTCTCAAAACAAAAACAAAAACAAAAAAAACCAACAACAACAACAAACCCACAAAAACAAAAACTTAAAAAAACCTTGAACTATTAGAAGTTAAGTTACAGGACCAGCAAAAGGCATAATGGCTATGTTGCTGGACTCCCACGTAGTTGACTGCAGTTCAAGTCCTGGACTGGGCGGCTTAAAACTCATGCAGGACATGTGTGTATGATGTCCAAAGTCCTAGGAGAATGGAGGAGAAGAGACTGTGGTGTCACCAACCCCCTTGGGAGGTGATTTCTTGCTTTTTGTCTCTCTCTGGCAAATGCACATGTTCTATAGCAAAAATCTCTCTTAAAAAAAATAAAAGGTGGGAACCAGCAGTTAGCGTAATGGCTATGTCGCTGGACTCCCACAGTCGACCGCGGTTCGTGTCCCGGACCCGGTGGCTTAAAACTCACGCCAGGCGCGTGTGCGTGCGTGCCCAAGATCCCGAGAGGAGAATAGAGGAGAAGGGATTGCGGCGTGACCATCCCCCCTGGGGGGTGATTTCTCGCTTTCTGTCTCTATGTCTCTCTCTGTCTGTCTGGCGAGTGCACGCGCCCTACAATGAAAATCTCTCAAAAAAAAAATTAAATAAATAAATAAAAGGTTAAGTTACTATCCAGGTCACATAACAAATAGGAACAAAGCTGAGGTTCAAACAACAAAAGCCTTCTCTTCTTTTCAAATTGAGATATAATTCCCTTCTCTTCTTTTCAAATTGAGATATAATTCTTGTGCCATAAAATTCACTTTAAAGTACATAATTTAGGGGACCAACAGGCAGATGGAATAGTGGTCATGTTGTTGAACTTCCACACAGCCAAACGTGGTTCGAGCCCCAGACCTGGAGGCCTGAAACTCATGCCAGGTGTGTGTGCATGCATGCAAACAATCCGGAGAGGAGAATGATTGTGGCATGGGAATCCTCCCTTGGGGGTGATTTCTTGCCTTTTCTTTCTCTCTCTAGTGAGCACATGCACCCCTTAGCAAAAAATCTCTAAAATAAGGTACACAATATAGTCCAATTTAACCTGTGTAGTTCCATGGTTATCACAAAGTTTGCAGCAATTACCATTATCTAATTCCAGAATCTATTCACCAAACCTAAGTTTCTGTACCCATTAACAGTCACACACATTGCCCCTCCATCCAGCCTTACAATCACTTATGTATTATATTTTCTATTTCTTCGGATTTGCTTATTCTAAGTATGTCATACACAGAACCATGTACTATGTGACCCTGTGTCTGACTTCTTTCACTCGGCATAATGTTCTCTATAACATGTGTAACATGAAGACATTCATGTACGTTGTTCCTACTTTGAGCTACTCTAAATAATGCTATGGGGAACCAGCAGTTAACGTAATGGGTATGTTGCTGGACTCCCACGTAGTCGACCGCGGTTCACGTCTCGGACCTGGTGGCTTAAAACTCACGCCGGGCACGTGTGCATGCATGCCCAAGATCCCAAGAGGAGAATGGAGAAGGGATTGCGGTGTGACCATCCCCCCTGGGGGGTGATTTCTCGCTTTCTGTCTCTAATGTCTCTCTCTGTCTGTCTGGCGAGCGCACGCGCCCTATAGCGAAAATCTCTCCGAAAAAAAAAAAAATAATGCTGCTATGGAGATTGATACATGAGTTTTGCACAGGCAAAAATTTTTTCATTTCTCTTAAGTATAAAGAAATTAAGTAGAAAGACCTTACTTTTTAAAGGAAGTGATTTTCTTTCTTTTTTTTTTTTGGAGAGGTTTTTCCTATAGGGCGCATGCGCTCACCAGAAAGACAGAGCGAGAAATGACCCCCCACAGGTGGGATGGCCAGGCCGCAATCCCTTCTCCTCCATTCTCCTCTCAGGATCTTGGGCATGCAATCACATGTGCCCAGCATGAGAGTTTGAGTCACCAGGTCCAGGACTTGAACTGTGATCGACTACATGGGAGCCCAATGACACAGCCATTATGCCAACTGCTGGTCCCCACAGTGATTTTCAATTCCCCTATAAATGGCAGTATGTTGCTCAACTAGTCTCATTAATTTTAATGAGTTAGCCTTATTAATATAAAAAAATAAGTATTATTAATAAATGCTTAAGTGTAGTAGAAACAGGGACTGCATTAATAATACAAAGTAGCATATATACAAGTGGTTTGAAGCAGAGGCTTTGGTGTTAAACTCTACTCTGTTACTCTTTTGGAAGAATTATTTGACTTCTAAAACTAAGGTTATTGCATTAAAAGTGATAAATCAAATAGGTGTAATCTGTTACATGCCTTACTATACCCAGGTCTTACACTAAGTACTACACACACACACACACACACACAAATTCATTTATTATTCAATAAATTTATGGGGCCAGTCATCTGATTAAAAGGAAAAAATCTGAAACCAGCAGTTGGGCGTAATGGCTATGTGGCTAGACTCCCATGTAGTCAACTGTGGTTTGAGTCCCAGGCCCAGCAGCTTAAACTCACGCCGGGCGCATGTGTGTGCATGCCCAAGATCCTGAGAGGAGCATGGAGAAAGGATTGCGGCGTGACCATTTCCCCTGCAAAGTGATTTCTCGAGTTCTGTCTCTCTATTTTTCTGGCAAGTGCACCTGCCCGATAGGAAAAACCTCTCCAAAAAAAAAAAAAAAAGAACTACCCTGTATACCAAAGTAAGTAGAAGCAATATGGCTGGCCCCATGGCCTAGTGATCTAAGGGAGTCAGATTTCACATGGCTGATCATAGGTCAACCTCTAGTCCTGGGGGCCTGAAAAACATGCCAACATGTGGGCATGTGTTCCCCAAATCCCAAAAGGGTGGGAAAATGGAAAGGGGATTATGGTGTGAGTGTCTCCTATGGGAGGTACTTGCTTGATCTGTCTCTGGCAAGTGTATGTGCTTTCTGGCAAATTACCAAAACAAACAAACAAACAAATCTCTCAAGTGTTCCTATTTTAAACATTTTTTAAGCAGAATGTGTAAACTATTTTTTTTGTGTGTGTTTTTTGTAAAATGTAAACACTCTGCTATAATTTCATAAAATGAAGATTTTAAAAACATGTATATATGCACATTTTACATAAGACAGGTCTTCAGAAAGGTCATGAGAAGGCAGGACGGGTCAAAGCAGTAACGAAATTGGACCGACCTTGGAAAGATCCTGGCCTGGGTTATTTCCTGGGACCTCCCTGAAGTACCAGGCATGCATACATACATGATCCGAGCCAGATGAGACTGAGGGTGAGTGTGGTGCAAGGACCTTAATGGGGATGCCTTTCTCTCTGTTTCTCTCACAGAAGAAATAAATAAACCTAAATTTTGTTTTTACCAAAATAAACTTGTACTTCATTTGCATTTTTCATAAACTTTTTGGAATTTCCTCATGTATTTGCATAGTTATAGGATCATGAAAGAACACATTTCAGGTTATTCCCATTGGTACTAATTGGAGGGAAATGGTGGTTTGGTATAGATACATGGAGGAAGGCTGTCAGGAAAGAAAAACTACAATGTTACAGACTAAATCCTGCAGAAGCATGCAATGGCAAGAGTAGAACTCTGCAATAGAGGCCCTTAACAAAGAGGACATTTTGGGACCAGCAAATGGCGTAATGGTTATGTCACTGGACTGCCATGTAGTTGAACACATTTCAAATCTCAGGCCCAGCAGCTTAAAACTCATGTCAGGCACATGTGCCTATGTGCCCAAAAAAGTCCCAAGAGGAGAATGGAAGAGAAGGGATTGCGGTGTGGTCATCCCCGCAAGGAGGGTGATTTCTCACTTTCTGTCTCTCTCTTTCTGGGGAGTGCATGTGCCCTATAGCAAAGACTTCTCTTTAAAAAAAGAAAAGAAAGATGACATTTGAGAATTAAGATGAATAGTAAAGTCTAGTGTACATACATAAGAGGTTCTAGAACTATTCCCTTAAGGTACACTAGTAAGAGTTAGTATACGCATCATAGAATTAACAAATTAAAGACGTATCAGAACAAACTGTCTAGTCTTTAGGTTGTGGATAGTATATGCAAAAGATTGAAAGTAAAAAGGCTTGTGTTCCATGCCCAGCTCTACTAACTGGGCATTGAATTGCAATGTGGCACTGAATTAAATGATTAAATTTTAAATTATTAAAACAAGAGAGAATAGAATTCAGCTTCTAAGGTCCCTATTAGTTCTGCATTCTACAATTCTATTCCATAAAATGTAATTACTTAAGAGAGTTGCTAGTTTTTTTAAAAAACATATCAATGGGGACAACAGGTGGCATGGTGGTAACTGCCCATGGCTGACTGTGGTTCTAGTCCTGGACCCAGCAGCTTGAAAATCATGCCAGATTTGTTCACATATATGTCCAAAATCCTGAGAGGAGAATGGAGAAAAGGTTGTGGTGTGGTGCTCCATCCTAGACGGTGATTTCTCACTTTCCCTCTCTCTGCCTCTCTCCAGTGAGTGCACATGCCCTATGGCAAAAACATAAAACAAAACAACAACAAAATAGATCAAAACCAAGAACTTAACAGAACTAAAAGTGTCAAACAAACCTGGGCCTGAAGTAGTCTCAGCTGTCTGTCCTGTTCTGTGAGGAAACGATAGGCATCCGGAGACAGTCCCATCATTCCATTGTCAGACCCAGTCTTGGGTGTGTGCATACACACCGCACAAGGCTGTGGGCTATACGAGTCCACATGTGAAGGCAGTTGTGCCACAGGTGACGGTTCTACACTGCTGTGAGGAGAACCACCCATGCCTCCCTGAGGTCTCAAGGTTATTGGACTACTTGAAGAACAGAATGCATTATGGTACAGAGCTGGACATCCACTTGGATGAAATAATGAATGCTTTGCAAGGGCTTCAGACTGGAGGTCTTGAATGGATCCTACTGTATTTATGCCTTGCCAAGAATTTATTGGACTATATTGAATATGGTGGCCGTGATGCTGACAACAAGTGCAAATATTTGTTCTCACAGAAGAAATAAATAAACCTAAATTTTGTTTTTACCAAAATAAACTTGTACTTCATTTGCATTTTTCATAAACTTTTTGGAATTTCCTCATGTATTTGCATAGTTATAGGATCATGAAAGAACACATTTCAGGTTATTCCCATTGGTACTAATTGGAGGGAAATGGTGGTTTGGTATAGATACATGGAGGAAGGCTGTCAGGAAAGAAAAACTACAATGTTACAGACTAAATCCTGCAGAAGCATGCAATGGCAAGAGTAGAACTCTGCAATAGAGGCCCTTAACAAAGAGGACATTTTGGGACCAGCAAATGGCGTAATGGTTATGTCACTGGACTGCCATGTAGTTGAACACATTTCAAATCTCAGGCCCAGCAGCTTAAAACTCATGTCAGGCACATGTGCCTATGTGCCCAAAAAAGTCCCAAGAGGAGAATGGAAGAGAAGGGATTGCGGTGTGGTCATCCCCGCAAGGAGGGTGATTTCTCACTTTCTGTCTCTCTCTTTCTGGGGAGTGCATGTGCCCTATAGCAAAGACTTCTCTTTAAAAAAAGAAAAGAAAGATGACATTTGAGAATTAAGATGAATAGTAAAGTCTAGTGTACATACATAAGAGGTTCTAGAACTATTCCCTTAAGGTACACTAGTAAGAGTTAGTATACGCATCATAGAATTAACAAATTAAAGACGTATCAGAACAAACTGTCTAGTCTTTAGGTTGTGGATAGTATATGCAAAAGATTGAAAGTAAAAAGGCTTGTGTTCCATGCCCAGCTCTACTAACTGGGCATTGAATTGCAATGTGGCACTGAATTAAATGATTAAATTTTAAATTATTAAAACAAGAGAGAATAGAATTCAGCTTCTAAGGTCCCTATTAGTTCTGCATTCTACAATTCTATTCCATAAAATGTAATTACTTAAGAGAGTTGCTAGTTTTTTTAAAAAACATATCAATGGGGACAACAGGTGGCATGGTGGTAACTGCCCATGGCTGACTGTGGTTCTAGTCCTGGACCCAGCAGCTTGAAAATCATGCCAGATTTGTTCACATATATGTCCAAAATCCTGAGAGGAGAATGGAGAAAAGGTTGTGGTGTGGTGCTCCATCCTAGACGGTGATTTCTCACTTTCCCTCTCTCTGCCTCTCTCCAGTGAGTGCACATGCCCTATGGCAAAAACATAAAACAAAACAACAACAAAATAGATCAAAACCAAGAACTTAACAGAACTAAAAGTGTCAAACAAACCTGGGCCTGAAGTAGTCTCAGCTGTCTGTCCTGTTCTGTGAGGAAACGATAGGCATCCGGAGACAGTCCCATCATTCCATTGTCAGACCCAGTCTTGGGTGTGTGCATACACACCGCACAAGGCTGTGGGCTATACGAGTCCACATGTGAAGGCAGTTGTGCCACAGGTGACGGTTCTACACTGCTGTGAGGAGAACCACCCATGCCTCCCTGAGGTCTCAAGGTTATTGGACTACTTGAAGAACAGAATGCATTATGGTACAGAGCTGGACATCCACTTGGATGAAATAATGAATGCTTTGCAAGGGCTTCAGACTGGAGGTCTTGAATGGATCCTACTGTATTTATGCCTTGCCAAGAATTTATTGGACTATATTGAATATGGTGGCCGTGATGCTGACAACAAGTGCAAATATTTGTGGAATAAAAAGACTGTGGTGGTGGAGTAGGCACCCGAAAGTCCACTGGTTTTCCTGAATTAGGTGAAAAAACAAAATTGTGTGAGTGGGACTGTGGCATGAGAGAAGACTGCTTAGAAGTAAATGTGGAGTGTCTTATAGGATACTCTTGTCTTTGAACATTTCCAGCAGAAACTGTTTGAAGCTTTTCAGATGATTCTGGAGATGGTCCATTAAGAGTAGATGGCTTGCTACTGTTCCTGGAGGGGGGGTTCTCTCTCTTAGGCTGTCGTTCTTTGCAGTGTCTTGAAGGAGCCATGCTCTGGTTTAACAGACTTGGTACCCCTCTCAGAGAAGGCTCTCTGGCTACAACTTCTGGGCTCTGTTTCTCATCATAAAGTTGGGGTTGTGATGGCTTCAAGTGTTCAGAGTGGCTACCCAACAAAGGAGGATTCTCATTATTCCCCGTTTCTGATGGATTAGGCAGAGGATCTGGTTCTTTGAAATTGCCATCCAACACAAGCGAAAGTTCAGGTACTGATGGCTGAATGTTAGAAATCTATGAATGGGAAATAAAGAAGAAAAATGTAGTTTTTAGGAGAAAGATCCATGCTTTACTTAGACCAATATTCCCAATTTATATCCGATCACATTTTTTTCAAGAATTATTTTATTTAACTTTATTTATTTATTTTAATTTGACCAGAGAGGGACAGAGTGAGAGAGAAAGAAAGTGAGAAAGCAAGCTGCCAGGTCTGGGACTCAAACCATGGTTGGCCATGTGGGAATTCAGCGCCCTTAACCACACCACCTACCAGCCCCATCCAATTAACATATTAAAAAGTAGTCATTCTGGGGACCAGCAGTTAGCGTAATGGCTATGTCACTGGACTCCCACGTGGTCGACCACGGTTCGTGTCCC